CCCACCTAGACCTATTTGCATCAAACCACAAGAAGAAATGCCCTAGGTTCTGCTCGTACCGAGGGAGGGAACCAGGGTCAATGGCGGACGCCCTGGTGGTGTGATGGTCGAAGCACCTGCTGTATGCTTTTCCCCCTTTTCCTCTGATTCATGAGGTGCTTCTAAGGGTCAGAAGGTACAGGGCGACCCTGATCGTCATTGCTCCAGTGTGGCCCCAACAGCATTGGTACATTGTCCTACAGCACCTCTTGGTGGAGGACCCCATCCCCTTTCCATAGGTTCAGGACCTGCTAACACAGGACATAGGCTAAGGTCTCCTGTGTCATCTAGACCTACAGTCTCTGCACCTCACGGCCTGGAAGATCAGTGGCTTAGAGTGGGGGAGCTCTTCTGCTCAGACCCAGTGAAAAGGGTGCTGATGGAGAGCAGAAAGCGGTCCACCAGGGCGACCCATACAGCTACATGGAAAAGGGTCTTGGCCTGGGTTGCTAGGTATCGACCTCCACCCACATGATTCTAGATTATTTCCTTGACCTTAAGCAGCAGGTGGTGGTGTCTTCCTCGGTTAGGGTACACCTGGCGGCCATTGCAGCCTTCCACTTGGTATTTGCCCTGGCTATAGTTAAGAGATTCCTGAAGGGCCTCAACAGACTGTACCCCTAAGTTAGACAATTCATCCCTCAATGGGATCTGAACCTGGTGCTTCATGGCCTCATGGGAGTCCCGTTTGAGCCGCTGGCTGCCTGTTACTTCAGTGAGAAGGGCCTCAGAGTTACATGCCCTGTCCTTAGAGCCCCCATATACGGTGTTCTCTAGGGACAAGGTGACCCTACTCCCACACCCGGCCTTTCTGCCTAAGGTGGTATCTCTGTTCCACATGTCCCAGGAGAGTTACCTTCCAGTATTCTACCCGAAACCGCATGGGAAAGAACAGGCATTATACATGTTAGATGTCAGGAGAGTGCTTACATTTTAGTTGGACAGGACGAGACAATTCCGTAAATACATACAGCTTTGTTTCGATAGCGGAGAGAATGAAGGGTTGCCCGGTGTCAGCCCAATGTCTAGCCTCGTGGATCACTGCATGTATCAAGTCATAGCATGCCCTGAAGGGGAAACCAGTGCCCTCTATCACGGCCCATTCAACTAGGGCCTGGGCATCATCCACAACATTCTTGGCGCAGGTGCCGATTCTGGATATCTGTAGGGCAGCCACGTGGTCATCAGTACACATTCACCACATGCTAGGCAGGATGCAGCAGTGGGGGCAGCTGTGTTGCAGTCCGTTTCGCTCTAGGCTTCCGACCCCACCTCCGTTTGTATGGCTTGGGAATCACCTAGTGGAATGGACATAAGCAAGCACTCAAAGAAAAGACGGTTACTTATCTTGGAACTGTTGTTCTTCGAGATGTGAGGCTTGTGTCCATTCCAATCCTGCCTGCCTCCCCTTTGTTGAAATATCGGGCAAGAAGGAACTGAGGGGGGCTGGGACTAGCAGGGGTATATATGCATGGCTATACTGGTGCCACACTGGAGGCTCCCTGACTGGCCCAACGGGTGCTGTTAAGGGTAAAAAAGTTCCGGCAGTTGTGCACACGGCACACACACACCTAGTGGAATGGACACAAGCAACACATCTTGAAGAACAACAGTTACGAGGTAAGTAGCAGTCTTTTCTCTAGGCCATCGCTGTGACAGTAGCATTTATGCAGAACTCCCATCTCTCTGCAGTAGTATACTTTATGATATCATTTTAAAATAAATTTTCTCACTTGCGTGTAGAAACTTTTCACAATGTACACCCCACCATCAATCTTAGCCTGGACCATTCTACACGAGAGATCCAATGGAAAATTAGACACCACTCTCTACAGTAAACCCACTGACTCATACAGTTACCTACATGCTTCCAGCTCCCATCCAGAACACACCATATGATCCATCATCTATAGCCAAGCCCTTCAATACAACCGCATCTGCTCTAATCCCTCTGACAGAGACCAGAAACTTCAGGATCTCTATCAAGCATTTATAAACCTCAACTACCCACCCGGAGAAATAAAAAAGCAAATTGAAAGAGCCAGACGAATACCTAGAAACCAATTACTTCAAGACAGACCCAAAAAAACCAACAGTAGAACACCACTTGTCATCACCGACAGCCCCCAACTTAAACCTGTCCAACACATTATCAATAAACTACAGCCAATACTGGAACAGGATACTAAACTCCAAGAGGCTCTGGGAGACAGACCCATAGTCTCCTATAGACAACCACCTAACCTCAAGATGATTATTACCAACAACCACAGGACATACCACACTAATACCAACCCTGGTACCTTCCCTTGCAACAAACCCCGTTGCCAGCTTTGTTCACATATTCACTCTGCTGGTACCATTATTGGACCTAACCAAGTGAGTTATAAGATCAAGAACACATATTCCTGCGCATCCAGAAATATAATTTATGCTATCATGTGCTGAAAGTGTCCGTCTGCTATGTACATTGGACTGACGTCTTGCCAAAGGATTAATGCCCACAAAACAGATATCAGACAAGATCACAAAGAAAAAACAGTTTCTTGCCATTTCAACCAGAAAGGACATTGTCTCAACGACTTGATTACCTGCATCCTGCTTCAAAG